CCTCTTCTTGTTTAACTCGAAATACCCTATTAGTCAGGTAAGATTCGAGCAGGTCAACATACTGCCTTGGTAGTAATCGCCTAAGTTTTTTTATTAATCCACAATGCCAAACCTTATCGAAGGTCTGGGCTACGTCCAAAAATAGGTTTGCCAGGTTTGTGCAGCATGATTATCTCTGCAAATTTCTAAATTTCAGGCACGTAATTAAAACTTATACACGCATTTGTTAGGAGCGTAAGCATCGTTATACCCCTTTTGGGTAATTTTTTCAAAATATCGGCCGTTATTAGGTCAAATCCTGGGGCCTTTTAGGTTTAAGAGTCCTGATTTCTTCTATAACATCTCTTTCCTTGACAATTGGAATAGTCACGCTATCCCCAACAAAAGCAGATTCCTCATTTTCATACACGCTCTGGCTGTCATGCGGGCAGAATATATCGGCCAAATGATCCGCAAACGCATTCGCCTTGTCCTTGTCAGTTTTTGCCCACGTTCCATCTTTGTTTTTAATAGGAGCGAGATGTTTGATAGGTTTCTTCATTTTCTTTGTTGCCCTCCACAGTGAGTAATAGGTTTTCTCACACGCCGTCAAATTTTGAACATAATTGGCCTCTTTGTATTTTCTAATACAGCGTCTTAGTTGCTGCGATTCACTATTTTATCTGGTTTTATCTTTCGCCCGCCTCTTTCTCGCCCGCCTGCTTCGTCTTACTTTTGCTAGTATATGTGGGGGATAGTTAATGCCTGCCCTTCTAATAGCATTAATTTTCGAACTACTCTAAGCCGCATTTTGAATAATTTTAGTAAAGTTTTCGGCCTCCTCATAGATCTTTTTGTCGTTCAATCTCTAAGCGAAATCTTGACCAATCTGTAGTTCCATTTGTCAGCGCAGGTTTCGCTCTTTTCATAACTATATTTTCCTTAAGTTCAAGAATAACCATCGATTGATCGGAGTTAAGATCATAGTTATCATGTACCTCTATGAAATTTTTCGCAATCCGTTTTGTTATGAAGAAATCTATAAAATCTGGACATTTATTAACATCGGTTGGCCAATACGTTGGCTTCGCAGTAAAATGAATACTTTTTAATGTTGACTCTATTTGATTATAGTCAACCACATTACTTATGACTACTGGAGGCGGCCTAGAGTTTTTCGTGACATCGCCTCGACTTTTAGAATCAGGAACATCCGCTTTCTCAGCGTTGATCATCACCTGAACCACTTCCGGAGATGATTCCGCTTTTCTTTTTTTATTGGACCTCGTTTGCTTTAGGATCCAATCTGTTTCTCTGGCGAGTTCTTCCTCATCTGTTGAGCGGACGTCCAAGATTGACTTCACCTGCCTTGCTTTTGGTGCAGTGTCTTTTTCTTTATGACTACTATCGTTAGACTTATTGTTTGTAATTTGCACATGTTTCTCTTTCCTTAGCTTCTCATTCTCAGCCCCCAGTTGCAGAAGCTCGTTTCAAAGCTACACAGAGCTGTTCTTGTTGGCTAATCCTTTTATGTATGTCAGCATTCTGATCATCACTTGTTTTAGCTTGAGCTTTAGTCATGTTTATATCCTTATTGGTCTGTGGAGCTTGAGTGTTCGGTAGTCCACCTTCTATATTTTTATTCTTTTCTAAAATCCGCACATCAGATGTAGGTGGTGAACGCTGGGTTTACGCCTTCCTCCTGAACGGATCAATCAAGAAAATAATTATATTCTTTAATGACATGGCGGTTACCGTTAGCTTCCTGCGTTCATAGAAATTAGCAAAAGCTTGCAGTGAATTGTCAAAATTTCAAATTTTACGAATTTCAAAGGGTGATAATTGGAGAGGGAGTGAAGGTGGAAAAAACTTTTCTTCTAACGAAATGAATAATGCAATAATATCCAAGAGCTGCGAAAATTTCAGACAATTGGAAATTTCAAAAATTTGAAAAAAACGGGTAATGGTAAATTTATGGGCCATTTCGTTTTTTTAGAGTTCAAATAGGGTATGCTACAGGTAGAAGAAGCCAGCCACTACTCTTCTGTGTTTGCAGAATATAAAAAAACTTTCTGGGTTTGCTACAATAATGACATTTTTAGGACTTTGAGGTGGTATAATTTTAAGAGGGGGAATATAGGCAAATATTTTCTTCTACAAAAGTAAGTGCCTAGTAAAGATTTGTGCATATAATGTGAAATTTCAGCTTTCTATTTTTAAGTGTGTAGAAAATTTCGTAAATATGTCCACTAACGGACGGACAGTCAGGATAAACTAAAAAGGAAGGAGAGGATGGAAGATTTAAGTAATATTAAAGTCTCCACAAACAATAATCTCATCAGTAGTGTTTAGACTGCTCAACAAAATTTCCACCGAAAAAGAGAGTTTATTAAAAACCGCTGACGTAAAGCTCGGTGCAACGTAATAATTAACTACGACTAAGTTCTTGGTTTGAAACTCAATACTAGGAACTAGAATTTACATGATTGATTACGAGTACATGATTGCTTTTTCCCACTCTACAGTTATTGCTAATAAAAGGCATATGTAATGGAAATATGATTATATGGTTGATCATTATTGATAATGATTGATGATTGAGAACAGAAGAGAGCTGCTAAAGGCCATTTAAGTGGATATCTATAAAAGACATTTAAAAGTCCGCAGGGCTACATATCGGGACCAGATAAGGTATTTTCCTTGCAGTTTTAGTGTAGTAGCTTGACATGTTGAGGTAATTCCATGAAATATATTAAGAAAGTGCCGAATTACATTGCATAAAGACGCTTTAAAAATTTTGTTCGTATGACTCACTATACTCGGTGGTTCCTATACAACTTTGAAAATTAAGTCAACATAATTAAAAACACAGATAAAGACAATTTCCTAAAATTTGTCCAATTTGCATCAAATTTTATTTCTGGAAAACTTTGAAAATTTTCACCTGTCATATAAACTAATTACACATTGGTAAAAACATTAACACAACGCAAACTTATAATTCTTCAGTTCAAGCATTTGCAGTATTTTTAGTTGACTGAAATAAAGTTCCAAATTATTGACTCTAATTTTTGTGATGGAGACAGCTCCAAAAAATTTATAAATCGCGGTCCAAACATACTCTCTGTATATTATTTTACGACATATTTTAACTGAGCTTCCAATAAGAGAAAAAGCAATACACATATATCTGACAAGTTATGAAAATTTTGTCTGGCACATTTTATTCAACTCTAAATATTAGTTAAGTGTAAATTATTGAAAATATTGTACTTAAACATGACATTTATATAATTGAGATTGACGTGGTGTAGGCTAGGGTATAGTTCAGTCGGCTTGTAAGTTTGTTGATAGTTTAATAATATACAAGACTGATTTATAGAAAACTTTTTTTATTATTATAGTTAGAACAGATACATCTTATCCAAAGTATATATATATATATATGTATAAATATGTATACATGCATATACAGCGAACCCATTTAGGTTCATTCAAAATTTAAAAATAATTACCCAAATTATTTATAAAAAAATTAAAACAAGACGAAAATAACTACAAAATATCCTTGATTTGGTTCAAACTTTTTTAAAATTTTTATAATTCTTGATCTGGCACGAATATTTGTAAAGTCAACCTCCTTCTCAATTTTATTTAATTACTTGAATATACAGTTATTAGATATATGTACTGCAATGTATGATGAAAATTAATTTTAAAAATTTTTAATTAAAAAATGAATGTAGAGTCATTCATTGATGCATTGTAAAATTTTACATTATTTATTTATGCATTCTAATTTTATTTTATTTTGTAAAAGTTTTTAAAATTTGTTTATCTATTAAGGAAAGTGATAGATCTATTAACGATAAATTTTGTCATAACCAAAACGGTCTGTTTTTATGTCATTTTAGTTTTTAGAACACCAAGCCATTAGCCACACTATTGATTTTTTCTTAGAAGAATTTTATTAGAACTTTAACAAGTGTATTTCGCGTTCTGCGAAATATAATTTGTTACTAAATTTGATCAGTATTTCTTTAAAAACCACCGTTATTTATATCGCCATTTTTCAACTAGATTCAAGTAAAACACAACTAGAGTTGCGCTCCTAGATTTTTCGAGTGAACAAAATAATTTTTTATTGATATTCTAGTAGATTGAATTAGAATTTCCATTGAAAAACCTAGAATTCTATAGCTATCGGGACAACTACGTTTAATAAGTATCCGAAGAATATTTCTAGTGGAAAAAGCTATTATCTCTTTATTTTCCACTAGTATTTATTTTAAGTTTTAAATATCGTCAATTCGTTCCATATACATATGTATATGATAAAAACGTAAGTTCGGCCCCTTGTCCGGTTTCCAACCCCTGATCTTTCCAAAAAATTTACACATCCAAAATAAACTCACTTATATAAAATTTCATTGAAATCGATTCAGTCAAATTTGAGATACACGCATGCACTCATAGACCGAAAGACCGACATCCTGCTAAAAATGGTTTTGTTTACGCTTTTCTAGTATGGAGAAGTGCGTTCACATCGAAAATACGAAATTCGAAATTTGGTGACATCATATAACCTTCCTTATTGTATACAATGCAATCGGTAAAAATCACTAACTATTGCTTTAAGTTTTTTTTCCTAACCTTTATTATTATACATATGATCAAAATATTTTTGACGTCATTCTATTTTAAATTTTTTTTGTGATATCGCGTCAGTTGTTAATGAATACCAACACAACAACAATTTTCATCGCCTCTACATACATTACCATCAGGAAGGCATATTTGAGGTAAGGTAACGTAATAGATAGACTACTTTATTAAGTCTGTAACGCGACTAACAGAATATGGGTGAATAAAACATTTAACTTTGTAATATGAAAACTGACTTCATGACGTCTTATTTTTAAAAACAAGTTTTGAAGTCTACTTGTTCTTTTGAATTCTTCGATAACAATATTTTATTTTTTAAAATTATTGAAATAATTAAATTGTTTTCGCTTCATTAGGTGGTTTTATGGGTGACATCGCATTACCAGATATTTCCAGTGGTGAAGTAGGTGGTACTTTGCCCCCGCACCCAACAGTATCATTTACAGAAATCGAGCCTAATTTCGATTTTATGGAAGCAACAACGTCAACAACAACAATAGTTTCTGCGTCAACGACATACTCTAGAAAGCCTGAACAGAATTTGAATGTGTCTGACAGTTTTTTCACATCAAATAAAAACATAGACATTATTGCAAATCATTATAAAAATTCCAGAGATTATGTGAACAAAACTGAACCGTTTATGAATGATGATAATGGCAAATATCATAGGAAAAGTAATGATGGTAAAAACATTCCTAAAACTAGTGGACATTTCAATAAAACTTTTCAACAAGAACTAGAAATTCTTAAGCAAGAAGTTTACAATGAAGGTCTTCAAGTGGAGGAAGAAGGTATGACTGATATTATCAGAAAGAAAACTAAACTGCCGAACAATAATAATAAAAATGAAAAAAGCAACAATGACCCTTTTTGGGTAAGATAATCATACTTTTGTTTTACCTACATACATACATATTTAAAATTATTACCTAACATACATACATATTTAATTTTGTTTTAAAACACGCTTATGTAGATACATACATATGTACATATTATGTATATTTAAGCAAGAGAAAAAGTTATGGTTTTAAATAATTTAAAACTTACTGTCGAAATTCAAAAGCAGATATTTTGAATTTAGGTCTGTAGACCCAGGTACAATATTGCAAACTATTTTCACCAAAACTATAGAATTACTGGAACGTGTGCGTATGTTTTCTATATGCTTCATTATGGTGCAAGATTTTTGTATTTGCATCTGTTCCTTTGGAGAAAGAATTGTGCTGAAAAATTTGATTGTCAAAAAAAATCACTTCCAATTTTTCGTTGAATATCAGTGTTCATACTTTCTGACCACACAATAAAAACTAAACTACATGAAAGTTTTACCACCGACAATAATTAATATCGCAAAATACTTTTGACGATACAAAATGGTTTTTTGCAATAAAAAGCTAAAACTTTTAAAATAAAATTATAATTGCCAATTATGGAAAATGACTGTCTTTTGAAAAACATTGAAGAGAAGGACAAGAAAAGAGTTGCGAATATCTTGAAATCGAATTCATAATCTGCAAAGTATAATAATTTTTTATATGGAACACAAACTGCAGCAATTTTTTATCGAATTCTTTTATTTTAGTGGCATAATAGAGTATATTCGGTATTAGTTTGCAAGTTAAAAAAAAAATAAAAAAAACTATGGTGCCAATCAAATTGATTGCAAGGCCGAAAATAAAGAACAACCAATCGCCTGAGAAAAAAGCTCCTGATGGTTACTCTATGTCGAATAGATCTGAAGTTATAAGCATTTATTAATATGCAGGAAAAATTTGATACCGTACTGAAAAAGGCTTTAGCTCGATAATAAGTATATCTACACTCCGCCGCCACTCCACTCATACAATTTTTTGCTGAAAATTGATCAAAGAATAATCCTTGAAATTATTTGCAACCTTATGCGAAACACCCTGTATATACATACATATGTGCAAATTGATCTATTGTTGTTGCTATAGTTTTATACATGCCTTTTTATTTTGTATTGATTAATTTAAACTAGATTACACTTAATATGTACATACATATGTATGTGTAAAATTAATATTTTACATATTTTTTTACCAACATAAGATGTTTTATATATTTACAGTTAATAAGAGAACCAAATAAACCACTAAATAGCAATAAATATCAATCAACAACATTTGTTGAATCAAATAATTCCAATCTGAAAAGTGAAATACAAACGTATGTACCCCATTCTCATTATAGTAAATATGAGAAATCTTCCTTAGAGCCGCACTCGTCACTATCGCCTTATTCTAAATCTTCATCGAAATTATTTAAAGATAAGTCCAAATTGGAAACAACCAAAAAGTATTTATTATCAACTTCAGAAAAGGCATCAGCCTCGATCGAGCAAGAAGAAATTGAGGAAGATAATCGTGACACGGTTCTGACTATTACAAAAAATATGAAAGAATTTTCATCAAATATGAAAAAGATTAAAAAATCTTCGTCAGTAAATACAAAATTACCTACTGTAATTCATCTGTACAAATCAAACGAGGAAAAAAATGATAAAATTTCGGGTCATGCACGAAATGTTGATTTAAGGAAAATTCAATCAAATACTAAAGATATTGAAGATGATTCTGGTAATAACTTTGTTTCAGAAAAAAAAGTAATTATATTACCAACATCATTGCCAATTCAACGATCAACAGCGGCGAATGTATTTAGCAATGCTGGTGGCAATGGTGGTAAATTAGATGATATTGAATTTTTTCAGGTCGATGGCCCTATACGGAGAAGACATCGTCGCGGTAAACGTCAAAGAAGGTATGGTTATACAAAATAATAATTTTTAAAATACGAAAATGATAAAATATTTCTTTTGTAAAGTTGATCTCATATTTTGGAAAATAATGTAAATTAAGGATAATAAAGTTTTAATTTAATATAAGTTCTGTCTGGGATAAGAACTTTTTCAATATTTCAAAGCTTGAAAAAACTTTATAAAGTTTTTGCATGCAAAGCGTCTGGTATAATACTTTTTGCAAAAATGAGAGAAAACGATGACATTTTCATTTTCTCGACGTTTAAAGTTTTTTCAAGTTTTATAAAGTAAAATGTAGTGTTTTAAAAACTTTTCAAATGTTATAACTTCTGAAACATATATATGTTTTTCTTGGTTATGTCAGAAGGTTTTATTTAAAAACAAAAAATTTTCATCAGTAATATGGTACTTTTTTTCAAAACTTTTCAATTAAAAATAAAATAAACAAATTGGATTCACAAATGGGTATTTCCAAGTTTCACACTTTTTCAATCTAAAATCAAAATTTTCGGTTTTTGGTATAACGAAAAAATATTTATTTATGTTTGAAATTTGGGGTTTATCACATATTTATAAAGTTTTAAAAGTTTTTTCAAGTTTTCCGTCTGGTTTATTTTTTTTTAAATAGCAATTTTTGCTTTTTGCTTTCTCGCAAAAGTCATTGTTTCTCTTTTTGTTTTTTCAATTTTTACCCCAAACAAACCTATTCTTTAATATGAACATTGTATTTTGTGATACAAAAAAACCTGCTTGAAACATTGTTTTGAATTTGAAGAGTAAATTTAAATAAAAAAAAACAAATCCATTATTCGCAAAATAGCACCTTACTTTTCAAATAATTTAAGATTGAACTTTATATTTGTTTGTATATTTTAATGGAAAAGGTTTATTGTAATAGTTTACGTAAATAGCACCTTACTTTTCAAATAATTTAAGATTGAACTTTATATTTGTTTGTATATTTTAATGGAAAAGGTTTATTGTAATAGTTTACGTAATTTGGAAGGAGTTTACGTTTACAGTTTCGATGGAATAGGGAGCTGAAAATGACATGTTATAATTATTAAAAGATAATAGCTCGGAATAGGAGAATATTGAATAGGAGGCACAAAGAAATTTTACCAAAAAAAAATTATTGATAAATTGTTAAAACTTAAAACTCACAAGACTTGCTGTTTAGAAGAAAAATTGCTCCGAAAATGAAAAAAAAACCTATTCTTTTGATAAAAAAAAATTAATAAAGTTTTAATGATAGGATTTCTTAGATTATAGCAGTAACAGTCCCAGTAACAATAAGTTATAGTTGTTTGGCAATAATGTTCATCTTAAAACTTGGACCACGTGTTTCAATTTGACCGGATGTAAGAAAGTAAAAATTTTGTTCTAGAGAACGATGCTTTCGTTAAGATTTTTTTGTGCACAATTTTTCTATCATAAAACTTTTTGTGAAATAATATTCATTTTGGCTTCTTTGGCATTTTTTTTTTCTATCATATTGAGTGGAAATCATAATTGTAATTGTTTATTATTCAAAGCTTTAACATTCCTTATATAATAGAAAAAGTTTATTTTTTATGAATTTTGTTAGTCTCATATCAAATGTTTAGGAAATTCTTGAATTATTTTATAGCCTTATATTATAATACACTTATAAATATAAAAAATTTTTCTCAATACTAGTGTAACTTTACAGACATGTAAACTTAACTTTACATGTTCCTTTACAGACGCTCTCACACTACAAAGGAATATCGTGAAAAATTACAGCGTTTGAAAGAAGAATTGAATCATCCTGTTGCAACTGTCGATGATGCAAAAAGGGAAAGAAATCTAAATAAAAAAACTCAACAAGATCGAAAAATCTTGAAAAACTTAAAAAAGAGAAAAGATAAAAACAGATCTTCAAATTTTCCACAACAATTTGATAAAAAAAGTCAGAAGTTTTTGCTAGACAAAAACAATAAAAGATTTCTCGAAAAATTAGTTAAGCTTGAAAAAAATCAACACAATGAGAAATTTTTAAATTATTCAAATACTGTTTATGATAACTTTGATATTATAACAAAACGTAAGTCAACATTGGATGCGTTAACAGATGAATTGAATGCAGCAAGTTTAGATGCAATTATGTTAAATGACGAAAAGTAAGTTTCCTCGTAAGTAATAAAGGTAATAGCAGCTGAGAAGCAAAAGCATTAAATTGATTTAATACTTAAAAATAATCTATATATGTACATAGAAAAGATATAAACGTACTATTGCCAGGACAGTGTGGAATCAATATTTTCATAAAATTTTGCTTCTAGACTGAACGTAAATAAAATTAGTGCTTTTAAAATGGTGCATATACAATTAAAATAAGATTTTTTCTTTTTTATCTTTTATTCGCAGAAATTCTAAAACTCTTAAACGACAACGTCGTATTACACGTGCTGTTACAGCAAAAAAGGAACGAGTCTGGGATTACGGTGTCATACCTTATGAAATCGATGGTAATTTTAGTGGTTCTCATAAAGCGCTGTTTAAGCAAGCTATGAGACATTGGGAAAATTTTACTTGCATTAAATTTGTTGAAAGGGATCCTGATGTGCATCCAAATTATATTATTTTTACTATTAGAAATTGTGGGTAAGAATTTGAAAAGAACAAGTTTTTAAAAACAAATTCATTAGTCTAACTTTCACTTGTATTTAATATAACACTTCATTGCTTAGCCTCATTTATCGTTCAATTTTGGAATCGTACTATATAATAACTGACCAGATTAATAAACAATGGTTTTCAACTTTTGTTTAAATATTTGAATTTTATAGGCATATTTTTCTAAGATTCATACATTTTATAATTCTTTATAAAAATATTTGATATATAGTTTTTGCAGTTTGCTGTCCGCGCAGACACGAGTGCCGTCCCTATATAGTTTTATAGTTGCCCTCCTATATAGTTTCTAGCTATCGAAATCCAATAATTTTAAAACTAGTATTGTTATTACCTACAATATAGTAGATATGCGATATGGCTATAAAAATGATAAAAAAAAATGCCAAGTCTTAAAAATTGCAGCTTATTTCTAAGGAATTCGTTTACAAATTTTTACAAAAATTAAAGGTTATTTTATAGTATTATTTTGTAATATTATAAATTTGAAAAACTAATATTAGGAATTCCTTTTTACTCTTCCCTATAGAAAATGTATTTCTACTGTGCATTAAATTTAATATTTTTTTATTTTCTCTATATTTTTCGGTTTAATACCTTTCACATAATATAAAGTTGCTGCTCCTTCGTTGGAAAAAGGGGGAATGGTGGACAGGCAATTTCAATAGGAAGAAATTGTGATAAATTTGGTATTGTTGTACATGAATTAGGTCATGTTGTAGGCTTTTGGCATGAGCATACTAGACCTGATAGAGATGCACATGTAGTCATCGAACATAATAATATAATGAAAGGACAAAATTATAATTTCAATATGCTGACGTCGGACGATGTTAATTCCTTGGGTCAACCATACGATTATGATTCAATTATGCATTATGCTAGAAATACATTTTCTAAAGGAACATATTTGGATACTATATTGCCAATTGAAGTAAAGGGTAAGAAGCGTCCTGAAATTGGACAACGTATTCGCTTGAGCCAAGGTGATGTAGCTCAAGCGAATTTATTATACCGATGTCCGAAATGCGGTCGAACATTTCAAGAAAATATAGGTTCATTTTCTTCACCATCTTACCAGTCAAGAGAAAATGCAAGCAATGTTGAAAAATGTGAATGGCGTATTACTGCCACACATGGTGAGAGGATAGTTTTAAAATTGGAAAATTTGGTAAGTTAAATTAGAATTTTAAGCATTTTAAGTTCCTAAAAAATATTTTTAGAACTTATTCAAATCTGAAAAATGCCAAACCGATTACTTGGAAATTCGAGATGGTTATTGGTATAAATCCCCATTGTTAGTGAGAAAATGTGGTAAAGTAGCACAAGAAACAATAATGACTAACTCTAGCCGCATGTTAATTTCTTATGTTAATACTCATAGAAACGCGGGTTATCGCGGATTTAGAGCTGATTTTGAAGGTAAAAAATTTAAATTTCAGACAAGAATTACTAAACAAAAACTTATGAACTTTAAAAAACAAGCGATTTGTGGTGGAGAATTATTCGCCGATTCAGAAGGGCGTTTAGAATCCCCTAATTATCCTTTAGAATATCTTCCAAACAAAGAATGTGTCTGGAAAATTACAGCTGCGGAAGGATACCAAGTTGCTTTAAAATTTCAATCTTTTGAAGTGGAAAATCACGATAATTGCGTGTATGATTATGTTGAAGTTCGTGATGGTGATAATGCTGAAGCTCGTGTCATCGGAATATTTTGTGGTTATAAGCCACCACCAAATATGAAGTAAAATAGAATAAAATTTGAAAATTTCTTTAATTTTTTGCAAATAGTTTGATTTTCTATTTAATAAAGATCTACTTCAAATACTATGTGGATTAAATTTGTTTCCGATAGTTCAGTTCAAAAAGCAGGATTTTCCGCTATTTTTATGAAAGAAGTAGATGAATGCGAAACTGCTGAACATGGATGTGCACACCATTGCACTAACACTTTAGGAGGATATGAATGTAGTTGTGACATCGGCTATGAGCTTCATAGTGATAAAAAAAATTGTGAAGGTTTGTTTAAAAATTGAATAATATTTAAAAAAATATTTCAAATTAAAGTTTTTGTTTGCTATGTAGACGCTTGTGGTGGTGTTTTAGAAGCTACTAATGGCACTATAACATCGCCCTCTTTTCCTGATTTATATCCAGCATTAAAAGACTGCATATGGGAAATTATTGCGCCACCACGTTATAAAATTTCCTTGAACTTTACACATTTTGATTTGGAAGGCGTAAATAACCAACATTCTGATTGTGGTTATGATTCTGTTTCTATATTCTCAAAACTTGGCGAAAACCGTTTAAAACGGGTTGGTAATTATTGTGGTACCAAAATACCACCAATAGCAACATCTGAAAGTAATGCTTTACGAATTGAATTCAAATCTGATAAGTCAATACAAAGAAGTGGTTTTGCTGCAATATTTTTTACGGATATCGATGAATGTGCCGTAAATAATGGTGGATGTCAACAAGAATGTAAAAACACTATTGGGTCTTACATATGTTCATGTCATAATGGTTATACATTACACGATAATGGACATGATTGTAAAGAAGGTGCATGCAAATACGAAATTTCAGTTCCATATGGAAACATTTTTAGTCCAAATTATCCAGAATTATATCCCCCTAATGTAGATTGTGTGTGGCATTTTTCTACCACTCCAGGGCATAGAATTAAACTGATTTTTAATGAATTTGATGTGGAATCACACCCGGTAAATTATTTTTATTTTTTGTTATATAAACCTACATCTTGTATTTAATTACTTTTTAGTAATTAAATAGAAAATGTGATGTTTTAAAATTGTTGAATTTCAATTAAAATATCAGAAAAAAGAAAAATATAAATTTTATTTAAATTTCTGGTTTTTCATTTTTGTTTTTTTTGTCACATAGAACTGTGGCTATGACCACGTAATAATTTATGATGGTGAATCTGATGATAGTTCAAAATTAGGTATTTTCTGTGGTGATAAAATTCCTTATCCAATATCAGCATCCTCAAATGAAATGTATATGGTGCTAAAAACTGACAAAAATAAACAACGAAAAGGATTTCAAGCAACACATTCAACATGTATGTTTCAAGTTTCTGAGACTTTGATTTTCTTATTGTTCTTTATTAAAATAATTTACACAAATACTTATTTTTTTGCGAAAACTCATAGTACTTTTCCTTTTTTTTTTGGCTTTTTTTTTGGCGGGGACAGCATGTGGGGGATTTCTTGGTGCAACACCACACATTCAACAATTTTACTCGCATGCACGTTATGCTGATCAGAATTATGATGAGAATATGGATTGTGAGTGGACAATAAAAACAACTTCAGGGAGTAACGTACAACTCTTTTTTAACGATTTTGACGTTGAAGATTCAACCAATTGCACATACGATTATGTAGAAATTTATGCTGGTATGGAGGATACAAGTGGACCATTGCACGGTCGGTATTGCGGTGACAAGGTAATTGTTAGAGATAATATTCTACTTTACTCAATCAAGAAGCTGTGAATACGTATATGTTTTTTTTCTACACAGATTCCGCAGGAAATAATTTCCCTTAGTGATTCTTTATTAGTACGTTTTCGAACTGATGATTCATTTACAAGTAAAGGTTTTTCCGCATCTTATGTAACTGTAGAGCCATTAGAAGAAAGCGAAGATTTAAATTCAGATAGTCATGAATCTGTTACACCATTTCCTGGTTACTTTAAAAGTATTTACAAATCCGATTCACTTGATTCTGAGGTGTATGAGTACATAGACAATAGAGAAAACACAATTTCTAATCAAGAACAATATAAACGTTTTGGTAGATATGCGAATTACCGTAATTTGTATGTTTAATTGTATTTAAATATTACATTCTTATACAAACAAATTATGCATATATATATGTACATTTGTATCTAGGTATAAATAAAATTTTTAGTTATAAGTAAAAACGGCTATAAAAACAGATAAAGCATTAATTTCAACCCAAAAATAATTAAATAAAAATTTAATGAACATAATACAAATGCAGCATTTAAGTTGGCATAAACCTAGAGACTTAATGTAGGTTAAGCCTATGAAACAATAATGCTAAATAAATAATTGAAATAGGTGATGAAATGCTGAGGACTTTAACAAAACGGTTTAGTTGATTAATGTTCACTATCCTGATATTCTGCGGAAATTATTACGTCGTGTAATAATTTTATTTTTTATTAATCCTTAAAATAACGAAAAGAATTTTCAAAAATAAAATTAAGTCCTTCAAAGACCCATATTTTAAAATCTTCCATAATTATTTGATAGAAAAATAAAATATATTTAATAGTATAATTTATTTCAGGTGCTTGTTGCTCAAAATGTTGTAGCAAAATTTTCTTGTGCCACTTCGCTATATACACAGAAAAGTTCATCTTTAATTTTTTGTTAGCTTTTAGCTACAATATCTTAATTTTTAATAAGTTTTTTAGTGGAAAACGTTCATGGTGCACGTTTGTTTTTATAATTTTTAAAATTACATAAGATAAAATAACATCCCAAGTCATTGTCCGTTGTGTGTCCGTTTTTACCTGGTATAGTAGAATATAAACGGCAATTTTCTGCACGACCACAATTTTTGTGATGCCTTAAAAAAGCGATTTTTGTTTATTTTTTTAATTTTTAACACCACAAACTTCAAAATATTTCATTGCAATAGCCTACATATGTTTGCGCCAAAGCAACGTATGTATGTTTTTTGAATAATGTAAACATATAACAGATTTCGTCTTTCATAAACCGAAAAGTAGCAAAAGACATTAAAAATTAATCCTTATCTAAACCAGTTTTTTTGTTCTTATATCAGGAGTGTTATGTTAATCTCTACTACTTATTTATTCTGTTCTACTCTTAGAGTATTTTGAACATAATTTAAAACAAAAGATAGTTGCTACTAGAAAGAGTACTTGTAAAAACTACAACGCACACTTGAAAGAGATATGCTGAATTACTAAATGCACAACAATTAAAAAAATCAATAATTAAAACAAAATTAAAATAAGAAGTTTTATGAATATTATATTTTTATATTATATGGTTTACGCTAAACACTACTTGATTTTTTTATTTTAATTAATCTCTTTAATTAAGCTGTTAATTTACTTTTAAAATAAAATGCAAAATTTTCTAGAAAACGAAATGATACTTTCTAAAATTCATATCAGAAAAGAAACCATTATGAGAAGTCATATCTTAAATTCATTTAAAGGGAATGTAATTATTTAAGATAAAGTTAATATAAAAAATTTTGTATATAAAAAATTTTTAAACGGATAATAATTATTCATGATAATCGTATTACATGACAATATTTTGTTACAATTTCTTCAATTATAATATACTTATACTAACATGAAAAAACCTATTTAATAATATTAGAATATTGTTACAATGTAATTCATTAATTTTTAATTTTATAATAATGTGTACATATACAAGTGCATATATACACAACACATATATTCGTATATAAAATATATGTATTTATGTATATATAAAATGTTTTTATATTTTTTAACATTACGTAATATTATTGTATGTACATAATTTTGGGAGTCTAAACTTGAAAAATAAAGAATTTTGAAGCTGATTCTATTTTATATATCATAATCTATTTACACTAACTTTTGTTCATAATTTAATAATATTTTCATTTTTTTTTGAAAAAATTTTATATGTAATTTTGTAATAATTATTTCCACAACTCAGAATATTCGACTCTTTCATATACTCATAACATTACGATTACCGGAGAAATGAAATTGAGTTTGACAACGGATGGAAAAGACATGTGTAAGTCCATCCTTAAAATTTTTGGGAGTTCTATGAAGTTCAATATATAATACTAGTTATTATAATGACAAGATTTTGATTAGAACTTAACAATTCTTTGAGAACAATAAAGGGATATTAAATTTTCATAATATCTGCAGACGGCAAATATAAATGTATGTGTATTGTATGTGTACATATTGTTCTACATATCACGTTTGCTTTTAGTAAAATGATTTAATATTCATTAAAATATATTAATAAATACACTGTAATATTTATAAATTAATTATTTGACAGATTGTTTGATGATTATAAATACGTAAATGTATGTAGATAGTATACAGAAAAAATAAAAAAAAATATTATAAACGTATCTTTAAATGGAAACACAAGATATTAAGAAAACTATAATAGAACAAGTAAACAAAAACTGTTTTTGAAAGACAATAAAAATATCAAAAATTTCAATTAATCATAATTTTTTTTGAGTATTTTTAATCTACATTAAAATAAAAATATATCTACGAGTACGTTATAATCTACATTAAATTTAAAGGGAAAATTAAAGATGTAAAAAATTTAAAGGGAATATGTCTTTATTTGATATAAAGACATATTCTATTATAGTATACTATATTTCTATTATAGTATGTATAGTAGAAAACTTTTGTTTACAAAACTTAAAACTTTATAAGTTTTTGAGCTTCGCAGTATCAACTTTTTGCCTTGGACTGATAAATCAAGGGAATAATGAAAATTTTTCTATTTTAAAATATTTTTTCTTAAAAAGTTTTTTTCCCATTTGCTGGAACGAAACTATATTTTTTTAAAACAAAAAAAATCAATCCTAGTATTTCCGGATTCAAAAGTAATTCTAAATTTTTTATAAAATTTTTACGGATTTCGAGTTTGCAAGTTTTTCCGTCTTTTCTGTACTAAATACTTTTAACTAGCGTATTTTCTGTTTACGACAAGTTACATCTCTTACAGTCATATAGTTATATACATTTTAATACTCACATGTTTGTATGAAACCAATATAAACAATACTTTTACCAAAAATCAAGAAACACAAAATTCAAAAAGTTTACTCATATCGTTCACGGGTAATTTAGCCAGTTTTCAAACTGCGTTTTAAATACTTAACTACTACATTTTATAACTTAATGTTTTTCAAATTGGTTATCGTGATTGTGAATTTTCTGGAAAGTATATTTACGATAGCCTTTTAGATTCGACATTAAAGCATCGATAATTTCATAAACAAACCTTTTAGAAACTTCTTTCGAACAATATTAACATCTCGTTAAACAATCCATTTAAACTTATTGAATTATTTTTAACACCATATGAGAAACAAAAAAAGTTTAAGTATTGTCGAGTCGACATAATAAAGTTTTGTAATACTAAAAAAAATTAAAATCCTTTTAGATAAAAAGTAGACCAATCTGGCTGGCTGTGCTCTTTCAATACTTGATTATTTTAATTGGAATAAGAGACTATAAATGTTAAAGTTACTGTAATATTTTCACCCCCATCATAGAAATGATGTCCAAAATGTTTTAAACTTACTGTAAAACATTATATTTTTTCTCTCTCTTTTTTCAATAAAATAGTAAAACGTTAGATGATAATCATTCAAAAATAAATTAATTTAAATTGTAATATAAGATGATAATATTAGATAACTAAAATGTGTATTTTCTTTTACCTGATCATTAATGGTTAATATATTTAATTATATTTTGTTTGTCATTGTTTTCCATATAGTTCGAGATTCAAGGTTAAAAAACATTATTAACCTTAAAAAAATTGCATTTGCAACCTTAATTTTATCAGAGCAGAAAAATCTAAAGTGACAGAAATTTTATCGCTTTCTCGATTACAATTACCAATTTTTTGAAGATTATTTTAGTTGAAGCCTTATTTTTTGCAGTTGATGCAAAACTTAACGAGATTTTTATAACTTCAAGTTACAAAACATAAATTTAACATATTAAGTTGATTATCAACAGATATTAGTTTAATTGCTAACACATATAACAATAACGTTAAACAAAATCGTAAGATTTGAAAAAATAAGTTCTTTAAATTACTCGTATATAGAACATAATGTATATTATGTATAACATAATTATAAAAATTGTCGGTACCTTTTTATTTTTCAAAAAATCATATTTGTCCTTTCCGTATCGCAAATAGAAACAAAATAATTTCATAATAATTCAAAATTCATCGAAACTTCGAAATAAGAAAAAACTAAAAAATTATTAGACGTAAAAGAAGAAAAAGCAGACTGAATGACTTTGTTTCGGTTTGAGAATCAAATTTTTGTGACAGGCTTGAAGTTATTTTCTCAAACTATATATCAGGGAGGTTATCAGGCGGGCTGAATTGCTGAATATTCCCTTATCGTTATACTCAAATGTATACTCACATAATATGTATGCATACCTTTACATAATGTTCTACTACATTTCGTGTGTTACGTGTTTTTAGTGATGAGAGAAATCATCATCAACTATAAAATTTATACTCGTTACATAGTTTCCCTCGTTTTCTATACAATTTTATATAAATGAAAGCAGTATTCAACAAACAATACAAAAGTATCATTACAAATCCTATTATACAAATGATGCTTTGCAGGTATATGGACATATGTATATATGTGTATATATATATAGATACACTTTTGTATACCCGTCTAAATGATTAACAACACATGGTGTGCATGCACATGTAATATTTGTGTGCAGAGAGATAAAAGAAAATAATCAAAAGACGATTTTAAGCACGTTTTTCGTACTTTAAAAATTCATTACTCTCAAATTTAGGTAGAAAACAAGGTTATTATTTTTGTTCTTATTCACAAAAAAACATCAACAGCAGCAATAATTGTACTTTAAGAACAATAAAAAAACTAAAAGCAAAATATTCCTTTAATTTTGCGATTTTCAACATAATCAGTGCCAGTTTATGTTTTGATTTTGTTCGTAACAGTTTCGTTTTTCGGAAAGGATATCACGTTTTAAACTGTTTTACGTTAAAAAAAGTAAAAATCACTATTTTCTTTTAAAAATACTTTTCTTTCGTTTCTCCTTCAACCATGGTTTGTTCTTACCGTTTTTGGTTTTGCGAAATAAAAAAAAAAGTTTTATCCTTTATTCTGATATAAAAAGAGCAGTTAAAAATACATTAAAAATATTTTAGTTTTTGCTCTTTATTTTTAATTTAAAAAAAAAACACATATAAATACATTAAAAAAATCAGACATAGATAGAGGAACGACTTAACATAGGTGTGGCGGAAAAATAAAGGGAAAATGGATTTTAGATTGTTTTACGTAATAGTTTTAACGGTTTTCTTTTTTGTTTGTGGTACAATCTGTGATAAAACTGATAGCAAAATTTTATTGAAATTTAAAAAATCTTTAAATAATAGTTATATTAATAGTAATATAAAAATAGTTAATGAAGTAACTTCAATGGTTACAAATTACGAAAAATTAAATGAAGAGGAATTGGATTTGATAAAATTAGATAAAATTAAGTTAAGGAAAATCAGTAACGGAACTAAGAATATATCTAATTACAAAATTGATGATATTCTGATGATGGGGATTGATAATTATGATAAGGATTTGTTGATAGAGCCGGAAGGTTTCCTCGGGAGCACTGAAACTAATGAAGGAAAACCTGAAAATTATGAGGTAAGTAGGTTTATTTCATAAAATTAAAAACATTAGTGTTAATTGTTGGATTTGATGTCAAATCTGGCTAAAATACTTAATCATTGTATTGCTTTTTTTTTATGAAACGTAGTTAAGAGTTATTGTTTTATTGAAAATAATTCCTGAATAGAATTGGTACTTGTTCTTATATAGGCCCGCATATTTTAAATTAGTTTTTATTTATAATATTCTTCAATATTTCCTAACCAAAACTTTGAATTGCTTAAGTTTTGTGCTCAATTGACTATGCACTTAATTAAAAGTTGCAATAACTGTTCAAATTACTGATTTGGTAGCATCAGCCAGAATTAGTTACTCAAATGGATAAAAAAAATTTTTAGGAAAGAGAAGTTGTTAAAGTCACCTTTTTCACTATCGTTTCAAATAACATTTATAACATTTTGGTTTTTCTGAGAAATATATTTAGGAACGAATGAGGGATGTACGAAACAAATAAAATTTTGATCCCATTAATTGTTAAAAGTCAAATATCAGTACATTCTATAAGCTAATGTGACCCAATACACAATATTGTTATAATTGTTTCATATTATAACATTGTATATTATACATAAATTTTCTAGGACCCTTAATAAAACATTAAAACAAATTTAATTATATTTCATTAGAATATGCATAATCTTACATACATATATACATTTAGCCTGTAATTGGCTGTTTTACAAGTAGATACCTGCCAATCCGTTTTTCACTCTGTTTATCAAAAGATTAAATAATAACTTAAAATGTCAGGTCCATATATGTATAAAAATTTCTAAGTATTTTTATCTCGTTGAAAAATTCAAGTGTTTGTTTATACGTTGTTTGGCGTATATATATTCGTATATACCACGTTTTTATATACATTATGTACGTTATGTCAGTTTACCTGAAACCGTTTGTGTTTTTTACAAAAAAAAATTTATCGGTTATTAAAAATTTTAGTGCATTTTTCTTAAATTTTTGTAAAATAAAAGAATTGCCACGCAATTTTTACTTTGTTTAATAATTACTTATCTGTAAGAATTTTTAATATTTATATAAACGTTGTAGTTTGAAACCAGAGACGTCGTATATTAAGAGACTATTGTTATGAGCACGTTAATTTAAAAGTTGAAAATGCTTACATACATGTCATAAATAATTTCGTATTGTGAAACACAATATATTTTCCTATATAGCTCATTTCCTACAAGCTATTACAGCTTACAAATATACTGTAACTAATCAAACTGCAAAGCTTCAAATTTTGAAAGCTTTATGAAATATATAATACATATGCAGTTTCCTTTGTACACAATTTTATAATACAAAAAGTTATACAATATATATATGTATGTATTACAAACAATCATGTAGTTTTAATACATTTTATGTACCGTATTATTATGTTGAAGTTTTCTCGCGTTTAAAATTTCATGATACTCTACATGCAAAAAGCAAAAATTGTGATTCAAAGATGAAATAAAGGCTGTAAATGTTTCAAACTAGAATTTTATTTATAACAGCATATTTTTGAATACTTAATAAATACATACTTATATGTTAAGATTGTTAGCAATTGATTTTTCGAAATAATTTTGTTAAGAAAATTAATTTTTTTTATTGTAACTCATATTTTCAAACTAAAGTGAATTAATGCGGGCGCAATGAGAAACTAAAAAAATTTTTAAAATGTCTGGATTTTTATTATACGCTGTATCTTCAGGAAAGGTATATTAACTTCAGTATGGAGTAGTCACCTGAAGGATGGGTCCGGTATGGACATGTGTGTGTGTTCCATACGCGACATGTGATTAAGATTAAGTACCAATTCGGACAACGCGTTCGGGTACCTACAACTCAAAGAGATTATTTTAAATATTTCAAAAAGTTATTAAAATATTATAATGAAATTTCGTAAAGGTGTGTCCAATTATACATATTCTGAAAATTCTAATGGACTGTTTGGACGGGTTCGTGTAACTGACATATAACCCTGAAAGCTAAATTTAAATATTTGGATTTAGAATAACAAAGTTAGATACATGAAATTTGGCCATTGCGTGTCCAATTATACCTGCTATAGGTTAAAGCTAATGTTAAATATTTCAAAAACATGCTTTTGTGTTAAGATTGTCAAGATATAATTCAGATTATTTAGACCCACTGAAACGTTTTTTTTTCTTCTAAAAGGATTTTCTTTATAAGTTTTAAGTAAAAAAAAAAAAGAATTTATTATAGTTACTTTTGTTTCTTACATACATACATAAACATATAAATATATAGTAGGTACATAAAATGTTTTCTATATAAAAATCTATTCCATTGTTGAAAAATCTTTCTGCAATTATGCTGTCCATAATCAAACATATAACAATATAATATGTTATTTATGTTGTTAAGTATTCTTTGTTTATAAATGAAATCTAGTTTATAATCTTCATACATATAATTTTTGTATTTTTTTGCTTTTTGTATTTTGTTGCTCCTAAAAAGAATTTAAAACAGGCCTAAAACTAAAAATTTAAAATAGAATTATTGCTAGCGAAAATGTAAACAACTTAAAAAAGTGTATATTTATTTAAATTCCTGAAAAATATTTTTTAGCAATAAAATAGAATTATTGCTAGCGAAAATGTAAACAACTTAAAAAAGTGTATATTTATTTAAATTCCTGAAAAATGTTAAACTTTAATAAAAATTACAGGTGTCAATGTGAGAATAATTGTCATCAATTATTTTTTCAATAATAATATTTCATTTGTTAACTGAGTTTTGCGACTCGTTTTTTTAATATCCACCCCATATTTCAGTTAAAAGAGGTATTGAAAAAAGAACCAAAAGCAAATAAATTACCTTCGTTTTTACGTGATTTAACAAAAATACAGTCAAATTCAAAGGATATTAAGAACGACCCTAGAAAAAATTTCCTTTATAATAAAAATATAATAACCGATTCAACACTGCCAAAGCAGCATCTTTTTTATCCAAATATTAATAATTACAATAAGAGGGAAAGCAAATTTAAAGAAAATATGGCAGAAGGGTTGTTGATGCCAAAAACAAAAGTGATGGAGGCAAAAAGGACCGAAAAAAAGAAAAAAAATATATACCGAAAAACAAAAGAAATTTTACCATTAACACAAGATGAAGATAATAAAGGAGTACAGCAGAAAGATAAGTTACAACAAAAGAGAAAGTTTTCAAGGATGTAAGTATAATTAAAAATTCAAGAAGCTGTGATGCCAATGACACAAAAAAATATTACATAATATTTTTGTATCATTTAATAATTTTTTTTCTTTAATTTATTATTTTTTTTAACTCATTCTCATAATATAGCAAAAAGAGTCGCAGGCAACCCTTATCACCAAAAACATTAGCTAAAGAAGAAATTAAACCAATTAAAATTTTTAAAAGCGAACGTCTTAAACATTACGAAAATTATTCAAAGTTAAAAAAAAGATTTGGAAATGTAAGAAGGGAAATTTTAATCAATGTGAATGCATCAACAATAACGTCTAAAAGTAGACAAGAAAGAGCTGTGATGCCACGTAAAGAACGAATATGGGACTACGGTGTCATTCCATATGAAATAGATAATATTTTTAGTGGAAATCATAAAGCTATATTTAAACAAGCAATGAGACACTGGGAAAATTATACATGTATAAAATTTGTTGAACGTGATCCTGCATACCACAATAATTATATTTATTTTACAATAAAAAATTGCGGGTAAATATATCAGCATACGAGTACTATATACTTATAGTCACTCTTAATATGATCGAAATATTGTCAAAATTTAAAACTAAAAATATAATTCATTTACATGTAGATGCTGTTCCTTTGTTGGAAAACGTGGAAACGGAAGACAAGCTATTTCGATCGGTACCAATTGTGACAAATTTGGTATCGTAGTTCATGAATTAGGACATGTTATTGGATTTTGGCATGAACATACTCGAATTGATCGTGACCAGTATATACAAATCAATCGAGCGAATATTCTTCAAGGGCAAGAATATAATTTTAACGTATTGGATCCCGAAGATGTTGATTCATTGGGACTACCCTATGATTATAACTCAATAATGCATTACGCTAGAAACACATTTTCAAAAAGCATTTACTTGGATACCATAACACCCATAATTCCAAAAGGTCAACAACGGCCAGAAATCGGGCAACGTATTCGTCTAAGTCAAGGTGATATTGCTCAAGCTAATTTATTATACAAGTGTGCAAAATGTGGCCGAACCTTTCAAACACTTAAAGGAAAAATTATTTCCCCTGGGTATATTTTAGGTGCTAATAGAGTTATAAATGGTACTTTAAATAATGATGACATGATTGAACGATGCGAGTGGAGAATTACGGCAACCCATGGTGAAAGTATAACTTTACGAATTCGTGAACTACAAATATTCACAAATGATACCGCTGGTAATTGTAAAGATAATTTTTTGGAAATTCGAGATGGATATTGGTTAAAATCGCCACTAATCGCAAGAACTTGTGGAAATAAAATCGACAAAAGGTTGGCAGGTGGAATTCGCTCAAAGTCTAGTCGAATGCTAATTACTTATGTAAATAGCATGTTACCCAAAGGATTCAAAGGATTCATTGCTGAATTTGAAGGTAAAAAAGATATTTTAAACTAAATTACTCTCGGAGATATTATGCTATGAAAAGGTAACAATTTCAATTAGGTAGTTTCATTTATTCCATTTTATTCACTTTAACATACATACATATCTAAATTGTCGCGCATACTTTTGCAAAATTTTATGCACCTACTCCTAACTGACATTTCATAATAATAAAAAAACATTTGTTATAATTTCTTCGAAGGCTATCAAATTAAGTCCCTGCTACACTAATTTTTTATAGTATTATTCTACGATCAAGGCAAATGTAAGGTAAAATTTGTTTAGCTTAATACAAAATTTTAAATTTCACACTTTTTTTAAGAACTTATAGTATAGCTTATTTATTACAAATTGTAAATTTTATGCGTCAAAATTACACAAAACTTTCAAATATAAGTTGCATGAAAAAGAAAAATATAGTAAAACAATAATTAAACTATCATTAATATTCGGACAAAAATAAATAAAGACGGATAATGTTTTTTTATTTGATTTTTATTACTAATAATTTATTTATTTTTGTTGTAGTAACTTGCGGTGGGACCTTTTATATAAATGACAGTCAACGTATCGATTCCCCGAATTATCCCTCAGAGTATTTGCCAGATAAAGAATGTATTTGGAGAATAATAGTTCCGGATAAATATGAAGTTGCACTTCAATTTCAAACTTTTGAAATTGAAAATCATGATAATTGTATTTATGATTATGTTGAAATACGTGATGGTAATACAGCTGATTCTGAATTGATAGGAGTGTTTTGTGGACATAAAATACCACCTACTATAAAGTAAGTGTAAAGGTACATAATATTATCTGGATAATTTTATGGCATATATAAATGTGCAAAATTAAAGTTAAATTTCCACGTTTAAAAAAATACAATACAAGTAAAAGTAAGAGCAGATGTGCTTCAATTCAAGAATGTAATATAAAAATTTGAGTGGTTTTTATCATATTTTCATTAACTGTTTTCCACGTCGCATAGACAAATTTTGAAAAAGTTACTTCATTCAGCCGTCAAATTCAAATTTTACAGAAATTTTATAAATCTGCTTGTTTCTTGCAACAATACATGAATCGGTTTGAGAAATTTTATCTGAAGTTAGCTTTCAAAGCCTTTTCAAAAGCAAAACTGGAAATGTTGTACGAGTATATTCACATCTAGAATTTCAGTTGTATCTTGAATAAATTTTGAGATGTTTTACTAAAACATGTTATTAATTTTTCATTTATGCTCTACTAGTATCAAAAGACTAAGTTTCAAACCATAGGTAAAATCATTAACACCAATAAAATATTGCTAGTAGTACTAGTAATAAAAACATTGCTTTTCAAAAAAGCGCCAAAGCTTTCTAAATTTTTAAATGCAATAATAATTTATTTAAGGACAAAAATTCATCGTTATTTTTAAATGCAATAATAATTTATTTAAGGACAAACTCAAATGAAATGTATGTGAAATTTATCTCGGACTCAACTGTGCAAAAAGTTGGTTTTTCCGGTATATTTATGAAGGAAGTCGATGAATGTAAACTGCGGAAGCATGACTGTCAACATGAGTGCGTGAATACGTTAGGAAGTTATGAATGCATTTGTAAAGCTGGTTATGAATTGGAGTTAGACGGAAAGTCGTGTGGCGGTAAGTTTCCTGACTAATATGCCGTATATAATGTGTTAAATCTTATTTAGTTAAGTGTTTATTTTTACTCCTGTGTAAATACTAAACTACGCGGCATTCTAAATAAAAATACTCGCTACTCTTGGAACAGTTTCAATATTTATAAATATATTATATAAAGTTAAAAGGAAAACACCCACTAACACAAAATTAACTTCACTTGCTCAATACACATGCTTACGTAGACAGCATCTGTTATATTTACGTATCCAGGGTGAAGTACCCCATTTGTATTGTACAATACAATAAAAATTTCTATTGTATTTTACAATAAAAATTTGTTTTTGTCTTTTCATACTCAAGTATTTTATATGAACGCAGACACATGCATACATACATATAAATATATTAAAAGTTATAATTTAAAAACATAAACATATTATGTAAGTTTTTATTATATTTTTTTTAGCTAACGTAAAGTTAGTCTATGCTTACGAATTGGTTTTAAATAATTCTTATCAAATAAATTTAAAATATTTCTCTAGATGCATGCGGTGGAAGAATTAATGCATCAATGAAAAGTAAATTAAAATTGGCTTCCCCATCATTCCCACACGTATATCCGATTTTAAAAAACTGTATTTGGGAAATAGTAGCTGAAGAAAATCATAATGTTTTCTTAAATTTTACACATTTTGATATGGAAGGCTCTAAATATCAGTTCAAAGAATGCAGCTATGATTATTTAAATATTTATTCAAAGCTAAAAGATAACAGATTGAGGCTCATTGGAACATTTTGTGGTACTGAACTACCACCCTTGATTCAATCAGAGAACAATATCTTAAGGGTTGAGTTTCATTCAGATAAATCAATTCAACACACAGGTTTCCTGGCAGAAATAAAAACGGGTAAGTACATGCATAGGTATACACCTATGTATATTGTTTTAACTAGGAATGACATCATTTAAGCAAAATTTTTGCTGTTTTAATTGTCAGATTACGACGAATGTGCCAAAGGAAATGGTAAATGTCAACATAATTGTATTAATACATATGGATCTTATAAATGTTCTTGCCGAATTGGATACAGTCTGCATGAAAATGGATTTAATTGCAGTGAAACAAATTGTAAATTTGAGGTGACGTCATCATATGGTGTTGTTCACAGCCCAAATTATCCAAATAATTACCCAAAAAATTTATATTGTTACTGGCATTTCTCAACAGTACCTGGTCATCGCATATTACTTTCATTTCATGATTTTGAAATAGAAAATCATCAAGAATGTATTTATGATTCTTTAACTTTATATGATGGAAAAAATGAAAACAGTTCGACGCTAGGAAGTTACTGTGGTGAAAAACAACCATATACGGTGGTAGCATCAACTAATGAATTATACATGGTTTTGAAAACAGATTCTGGTCTTCAAAAGAAAGGATTTATGGCAACACATACAATAGGTGCAGAAGTTTCCTTTCATCATTTTTTATGACAAATTTTTAAGTTTATTTATAATTATAAATTATTTTTTGTTTAACTTATTTATTAGAATGTGGCGGGTATTTACGTGCAACAAACGAAACAAAACATTTTTATTCACACGCCAAGTTCGGGCATCGACCTTATAAAAAAAATGTTTATTGCGTATGGAGAATACAAGCGAATTCTGAGAGTAGTGTTAAATTAAGCTTTGTTAGTTTTTCAATTGAATATGAAGGAAAATGTGGTTATGATTATGTGGAAGTAAGTGAAGATAGCAATCAGTCAAGAAAATCATCACATGGAAAATTTTGTGGTAATTTTGTAAGTTATTATATTAATATATTAAAAATGTCGTTAATCTTATTAAGTATATTATATTTTAAGAAACCTCCTAAAATTACATCTCATTCAGATAGTTTGATTGTGAAATTTGAAACAGACAATTCCACGTCATTAAAAGGATTCGCAGCGTCGTATGTAGCTGTTGAACCGCCAGGAGGTCAAGATACAGAATATGAAAAAAATACCAGCTACAGTTAAACCAAAAAAGAATCACATTAAAAGGAAAAAAAAGACGATTTTACAGAATTGAAATCAAAAAATTAATCAAATTTGAAAGACTTTGAGATTATTTTTTAAATAAATCGAAAGTAGTAGTTTAAAGCAAGTTCTTTTTATTCTTAGTAAAAAAATTGGAAAATACAATATATGTATCTATGTATTTTTAGTTAGATAAAAGTATTCTAATGTATGAAAGTAATGGTATTCGTTTAAAATTTTATATACACTTAAGCCTCGTTTTATGCCTTATGATCCTTTTGTGCGATTTTGAAGTTACGCGGTTGTTGTTTTCGGCCGTCCTATTTCGGCCGATTTTATGCGAATTTTTTAATATGCGGTTTTTGATTATATTTCTTCCAAATTTATCTAAAAACAGCGTGATAAATTGATTGTTTTGAGATTTTTTTTTTATATTACAGCATTAATTCAGTGATTGAACATACATAATGAAGTTTAAAAAACAATAAAAAAACAGACTTTCTATTATTACACATGCATATTACTTGGGTGTATTATTATATTTTACATATACATATGTTTATATGGTTGCTTCCACAGACATCTTTATTCTCAAGACTCCGTGATACACAATTTACTAATACGGTGCATTCAAAGTTGGTCATTACACTTTTTGTTAAGAAATATATTTTCGAATAAATTTGAAATGTTCATGGAAATTTGGGATGTTTGAAAAATAAAAAAAATAAAATTTTTAATCAATTTTTCTTAAAACTAGTAAATTTTATGATAAAAATGTATTCAACTAAATTCAGAAAATTTTTTAATTTTCTTTTATTAGAAATTAAATTACATACTTATTTAAATTGTTCAAATCCTAACATTACTAAGTAATTAATTAAATTATATTTGCCTAAATTATATTTACTAAGTACTTAATTATATTATATTAATTAAATTATATTATATTATTATATTATAATTACAGGCAACAAAATAAAATTTAAAGTTCTTACAAATTAAAAATACTTTGGTGGTGTCCAATTCGTTTTTCCTAATGCTTGTATACATTTATCCTTGATGACCTCGTTCTTTGGCAAATCAAATATAGTATTATATTTTATTTAAGTATGATTACAATAGAAATAGATTACATTGTTTTATTCTAAATATTATGAACAAATGACAAAATTTAATTAATATAAATTATAAATCTTCATTTTATTTAATAACCCAAAAAATTAATTATTCACTGAATTTAAATCAAAATTAAATTTTAAACAACAAATAAATTATTTTACCGCTTAGCGACACAGCCTTCCCGTACGAAATTTATACATGTTTGGACTTTGGATTCACACATATGCAAAAATATTAAGGCATCTTGTACATTATAGTCTATGCTGCTTCATAAGCGTACAAACTCGAAGACTATTTTTTATGTCTATATAAATCTTACCATATAAAAATCATACCAAAAGCCGGCTTCAGTCAAGTCAATAAAAACTTTTGCTCATTTGACTTGAGATGTTAATATTTATTTGAAATTAAATAGATAAACGTCGTTTTCTGGCTTTTAAACTGACATAGTAAAGAAAAAAATTTGATGTGGCCAACACTTAACCGACCGCAATGTGTATAGTCTAGTTAAGTGGAAGTGCTTACAGATGATTATAAAAATTCCTTTTAAAGACTTCTTTCCAATTTTTGGAGCGTTAGTGAGCTTTGTGTATGCATACTAATTCATACTTTATGAAAGATGTGTATTACTAATACATACGTATGCATACTTATTAGAAATATGTGTTTAAATATATAAAAATGCAAAATTAAAACAAATATATAAAATCCATATTTTATCAATAAATGTATTGACAAAATAAATTATAATTATTTTTTTATTTTAAAAATCAATTTTTTTTTAAATCGCTTCGCTTTTATAATATGAACACATATTTTTGCTACCTTGTACTGGAATGAATTACAGAAATGGTTTTGGGCACTTTTAAAATGCCTTAAATATTTTTAACTATTCTTTATAGGTATACGAAAATAATACTTTTGCGTGCCTTTAAAAATACATTATAAAAAAATAACACCTATTGCGTACTCTTTCCCTCCCCTAAAAATTCGTATGTGTACAGTGTTCCCACTTGGTAAAAACAAAATGTATCCAATTTCGAGGAATAAATGTATCCAAAATGTATCCAACCTCATAAAGCAGAATTTTTATACCAAGCCGTCCTATTGTTGGTTTTTTTATTTATAGTAAATTCTTTAAGAAATCACATACAACTTCTATTATATTTTAAATGTGTTAAAAGTTAAAGTCAGAAAAAACAAATGCATATATGTATGTTGTTGCACTATGTGCTAAAGACAATTCACCATTAACACGGAAAAATTTTAAAAAATATGTACAGCCAATGCATTTTCTATTACAACTAGCTTACTCCAAAATATTTCTGGTACGTTCTTGTCTAAATGTTCTAGATTTGAATACAGGAAGAGGCAGCACTCATTTAATAAAGCAGATTTCTTACTTTCTTCTAGTAAACTCGGAAATCTGCTTAGAAATGCCAGCAAATAACACTTTTGAAAGATAGAGCAATTACGCGTTTTAATATTAGCAGCATTTTAACAGTTTTGTAACATTTATTTAGTGTTTAGAGAATAAATGTATCCATATTTCAGCAAAATTTCGAAATGTAGCCAATTTCGGCATTTTATCAGATTTGAGTATCTTTGTATCCAAGCTAAATTTAAAGCAAAAAATGTATCCAAATGGATACAATTGTATCCAAGTGGGAACACTGTATGTGTATAAAAATGAAAACAAGAAATTATACTGCTTAACTCTTTTAGCTAAGGGAATTTTATGTAACCCAAAATTGGTGAATGATTGCATTAGTGTGATGTAAACGCTGGCACGAACTACATACTTATAAAAAAGATATACTTTGGTTTGTATATTAGTACATAGCAGTGCACTTAGATATGAGACACCCTGTATGTTCCATATTAATTTTCATTGTCATTCGCTAGATATTTTCTATTTTGAGAATAGTATCAGTGCTATTTATGGACCTACCAAACGCCTTCGATACCGTTGATCATACAATTTTCTAAAAAAAAATTCAAAGATATGTTTTAAAAGGATTGACTTTTAAATGGTTCAACTCATATTAATAAAATAATCGATCGCAATTCATACAGGTTGGCAATATACAAAACGAAAAAAAAACATAAAATTTGGCGTTCCGCAGGGCAGTATTTTGCGTTCTTTGCTTTTAAAAATATTTGTAGACGTTTGTTTCATTTTCCAAGCTGAAAACTACAATTCTTTAGAAAAAAAAAATTAATTTTGACATAAAAAAGTTAAACCATTTATGGAACAACAAAAGTTAACCATTAACATAAAAAAAAAACCAAATATATTATGATAATTACATCTTCACCTCTATTGAATGCAAAAAATTTTTAAAGAATTACGAGAAGAAGTGAACGAGTTTCATGAAATTCGGATCGACTTCAGGTTAAGCGGAATATACATACATACCTTTTCACTCTGGAACAAACTTTCGTCCATTATTGGTGCTTTTTAGTAAAATCGCCTTTTTATTGCCAAAAAATGTCAAAAAATGTATCAACTATCAGAGGCATCTTTATATTAGAACTTACTAATAAATACATACATATATTGTATTGAAAATTGATCATCTTACCTTTTGTTAAGAAAGTGAAGTCTTAATAGTCAACGATTTGACTGCCATATATTGATGATTTCTGTCATTTATGTCAGAATCGTCGATTGTGTAATTTTTACATTTAATTATGTGAATCGTCGATTGTGTAAGTTTGACATAAAAAAAGTATTTATTTATAAAAAACACATTTTTATTAAAAACCTTATAATTAATCAAATATCTTGATTCCGTCTCAGACATCTTATAAACACAAAAATTTTAGTAATATAAAATATTTTGACATCTTGCAGTAAAAAAAAATGCGGCGATCAATTGATTTTTGCAAACTTTTGCTTTAGCAGCAGATTATGAAATCATGATTAACGCGTCAAAATTATTATGAAAAGTTGTATTTGATGAGCGTCAAATTATTCTCATAACAATTTCTTATATTGAGTCTTTTCGAATAAATTAGAAATGTTCAGGATGAGTTGCGATGTTTCACAGGTAAAAAAATTAATGTTCTTAATGTAATTATTAAGTAAATTAAACACATATAAAAAATTTTCCAAACAAGCAGAAATTACAAGTATTATCTTAAAACTAGTATTGATTCAACATCAAAACTATCACAAAAAATTTTTTAATTTTCTTTTATTAAAATTTACTCCTTATTTATATTATTGAAATCTTTACAATAATTAGCTAAAATTATATTTGCCATAGGCATTAGTAATATTTTGAAAATTTCAACATATGGTCTTCCACAATCGCAAATTTAGTCTGTTTCGGTTCAAAAATTTTCTTGTTGTATGCTTCTCAAAGGTAATTCTATTAAAATTTTTCTTTGATTATGAGTTTTTAGTTTGTCATGATCAAAGTATATTTATTAATAAATAGTTCGACTCCTTCTCTTCCGTTAGTTTGCATTTTGCTTCCAAATTCTTAAAATATTCCATTTTTATTTAGAAAAAGATGGTAATAAAAGTGGTGTAGGTAGTAAAAAGGAAACAAAATATCGTAAACAAACGAGTGTATCAAAAACATTGAACTAAAATAAAAATTAAATAAAGTTATTTGATTAAATAAAAATATATGAGTTTGAAATTTCATGTATGAATGTCCATATGCATGTACCTGGTATAGTAGACACACAGTATCAGGTAGTGATATAGAAATAAAGTAATTTATAAAGAAAAATTAGATGTATGCATACTGATTAATACTTTATGAAATATAATTATTACCGATTCATAGGAAATATGTTTTAAATTTATTAAGAAGGCGACCCAAAAAAGAGTTGGAATGTTGTAAAACAAATAATAAATTCGTCAAACATGCGAAAAGATGATTTTTTCTCAAATTTGGACATCGGTGAAACAGAAAAATTTAGTAGAATTAATAAATTCAATTCGTATTACTGTACAGTTGGTGAAAAAATGGCCAAAAAAT